ACAGTCTACTCCTGTACTGTGCCAAATTTGGGGAAGGTTGGACAAAAGGTTTTCAAACTAGTTTTTTTAATTGTAAAATTATTTTACCCTCTCCATTGTAAAACAGATGAGCCCCAAGCTATCCCAGATATAAAATAGCTCACATAAATTGAAAAAATAAATCTTGCTGATCTCGGAAGAGAATAGCTCACCCCACCCACTTTTTTTTTTATTTTGAAAGAATCTAGGATGTGGGGCACTGGAATACTGCTCCACTGGAGAGCGGAAGGGCAACTAAAGGTCACAGCCCATATGAAAAGAAACTAGGAGATTTTTAAAAAATTATTTGTTTTAAAGGTAGTAATGTACTAGCAACATGGGCACAATATTGCAATACTGGGCCATTTCCTGGTGTCTTGAATCATGGGCAGAGAAGCACAATATTCAAAATCAGAGGTGTTTCCCCCCCCCCCAAGAATTGAATTTCATTCAAAGTTCATAAAGTTTTACAATGTTTTTATACTATATAATAATATAGAAGGCAGAGTGCCTTCTTCCGCCAAGTTCTACTCGCATCACCTGTTTATTTATTTATTTATTTGAGCTTATGTTCCTCCCATTTAGACATATGCTTATATGCCTCCCATTTAGACATAGTCTCCAGTCAGGACAGGTGGCTGAGGGGCCTAACGCCAAGAGAGGTCCAGCAGGAAAAAACTAAAAATTGGGCCTTCTCGGCAGTGGCCCCTTGCCTATGGAACAGCCTACCTGTAGAGATATGCTTGGCTCCCTCGCTGACGGCTTTCAAGATTAACCTGAAGACATGACTATATAGGCAGGCCTTCCCTACAGCTATCACCTAGCCTATTTCTCCTTTTCTTTTTTCTCTCTTTCTTCTTCTTCTCTTCCTTTCCCCATCACAGACTCTGTGATTAATTTGGATTTTACCTTAGTTTATTTTTTATGTTATGTGTAAAACACCCAGAGTAGACATGTTCTAGATGGGCAGCATATAAAAAAATAAAGGAATGAATAAACAAACAAACAAACAAATAGTAGTTAATGAAAAATAATCAGTAACTACATGGTTGGGTATGCAAATAATAAAACTTTATTTAATTGAAAGATTCTCTTTTTTTCTGTAACTTCTCTAAAATGCTGTAATATATTTCAGTGTCCACATTCAAACAGTTGAAGCTTTTACATTATATCTTTGATTAGGATGGGTATGAATCTCCCATGAATGGCTGTAATTCAGAGTATGAAATAAATAACTTCCAGCACGCTTCTTTGACCTTCTCAAGTATATTTTGATTACTCTGGACCTGAAATATACTGGATAGACACATAAACACTTCCCTGGAAGTAATATCTACCTGTAAGAGTTCTAATAATATACCACTGATATACCAGTGTACAGCAGCAGCAGCCTGTCTTTTGATGTGACGAAAAATCTAGAAAACCAGATTTGCAGAAGAAAGCAATATGGCGTATCTTTCAGTGCAGAAAGTACTGGCCAGGCTTTTAGACCAGCTGAACTGATCCTTCTGTGGGATACAAGGAGAACTGCATATGTATGTACATTGCTTGGTCTTAGCATTTCATGACTTGTAGCAAAATCTGTAAATTGCTTTTATTGCTAAGTATTTGTCCTGGAAATAACATTATGGGATCTGTGATGACTCCCAAGCCTGTATATCATCACTCATGGCCACAACCAACGCTTGTTGAAGGTGCGTATGTGAATTTGCCTTAACATTTCCTGTGTTTTGTGCATTCCTGTAGTACTTGTTGAACTTGTATAAGAGGGAGCAAGTAGGTGATTATAATGAACACAGCTTCTGACAGTACATGAACAAAAGAACATGCTGCTATTTTAAAATTGAGGGTTCTTGGAAAAAGCCAGGCACTGGACCCTCTTCTATCATGATGTATAATGTTTCATCTACATGGCTTCATTCTCAGGGCCAAATTAGATGAAACATGGGAGATACATGAGCAATTTCCTGTTTCTTTTAATTGCAACTTGAACCAGAAGTGGTCTGTGCAGGGAGATGGAGGCTGAGTGTTAAGCTCATGCTTAATACTCTTTCCCTGGTGGTTGTTTTGCTGAGTAACAGTTTTTCTCCCTCAGCTGCTTTCCAAAAACCAGGTTAAGAGAAACACGAGTTCTTTATCTTTTAACTTCTTAAAAGAAAAATAGTGCAGGGAGGGCTCTTTCAATTAGAAGGGATTAGGTATCTTTTTACCTCAACATTAGCCTGATTAAAATTTAAACCCAAAGTGCCTGCATTCAGTTAAATCAATTTTTAAAAAATAATAACCTGGTTATGCATCTCCTGTATCTTGTATACCGTGTTTCCCTGAAAATAAGACAGGGTCTTATATTAATTTTTTCTCCAAAAAACCACATTAAAGCTTATTATCAGGGGATATTTTATTTCTTTCATGTACAATAATCTACATTTATTCCAATATAGTCATGTCACCTTCTGGTTGCTGCATAATGGTGGAGGGTGGAATTTCACTTAACTAGGCCTTATTTTTGGGGTAGGGCTTATATAACGAGCATCCTGGAAAATCATACTAGGGCTTATTTTCAGGTTAGGTCTTATTTTGGGGGAAACAGGGTAGTTTGTTTCCAGTTGAAGTAGTTAAAATGAACCATTTTACATTTTTTAAAATAGTAATTCTGGAATCTACATTTAAGAAACCAAATCCAGACCTGCAGGTTAGATCCCATCTTCCTGCAAAAGTGCCTCTCCATCCAAAGTTTGCTCATTATTTTAATATATGCAGACAGTTGTGCCCTGAACTGTAGTGATATACACTACACGCAGTAATTATGGCAACATGGTACTGTGCTTCTGTTCCTCAGAAAGTTTCTTGTGGTCATCCATGTCTCCCTGATATTTTGTTTTCTGTGTTCATTTATTTTACAGGTTGTATAGAGGAGAATTCATTTAGGCAAGTGTCTACCTGCAGTCTGAAGTAATACAGACTGGAAACAACCAGTAGCTATCTTAGAAAGAGCCTGTTGCAACAAAAATACTTTAGAGACTAATGAGCTTTATTTGTATTAAGCTTTTGTAGACTGGCCTACAAGTATGGAAAAAAGGGTTGTTATCCTAGTGAAAATTAGATGTATGTCTTATCTGGGTGAGGAAAAGGAGATGGATGCAAGTGGGTATAACAGAGCCCAGAGAGATTAAACAGACTACAGCTGAGGTCCTCTTTCCTTCACCCTGGTTATCATCCCACTCCCCAATCCTGTATGCCTGACAATGATTGTGCTGCTTGTAACTTCAGGCTAGGGAACCTACTTATGCACCATCAATAAAGAGGACCCCAGTCTTTATAACAAGCACTTGTGCCAGTTCATATGGATAGAGGCAGATTTAAAAATAATTATATTTAGTATTATTTAGACAGAAAAACAACAACGAGTCTCCAAAGTACTGTACAGAAAACTGTGAACAGATGACCCATGTGTCTGTTCAGTCTGCTGTCAAAGTGCTAATCTGTAACAGGCAACTTCAACTCTTCGCTGCCTCCCCTTCTTGGAGCCCCTTTATCTTTAAACTTGATTAGGACTAGCCACCCTTTCAAACACATAATAAAGGACTGCCCTCTAACAGTCCTTCTAACAAATAAGTATATAGCAGGCCACCTTACTTGAGGAAGCTAGAAGCAAACAAGTATAATCAGGCCCCTGGTGTCTGAGATGATGGTTAGCCCTACTTCACGTGCTCCTCATTACAATAACAACACCAATTCCTTGCTTCAATACCAGTTACAGCAACACCCCATTTCTTCTTGTAGACCAGTGGTTCTTAACCTTTGTTACTCGGATGTTTTTGAACTGCAACTCCCAGAAACCCCAGCCAGCACAGTTGGTGGTGAAGGCTTCCGTGAGGTGCAGTCCAAAACTCCTGAGTAACCCAAGGTTAAGAAGCAGTGTTGTAGACATTGGAGGTGAACAAGAAGCTAACTACATTACATCATGAACAGATGCTTTAGCTGAGCAATGTCTTCACATTTTCAGAGGAATTGCCCAAGATAGTTTGAGCAGCTGCTCGGTGTTTATCAAAAGACCAGACACAATGAAGCCAGCCAGAAAGCAGCTGCTGATTTATTTAGCTACCATACAGCTAATTTCAGCTGATTTTGTAATCTTTGGAAACGGCTCCCTCTTCTCTTTAGTGGATTTATAATACTGCCTTTAATACACGCAGAATCTACTTCTGTCTATCTTTCAACACATTCTCTTACTCCATGGAGATTTTATCATTGCAAGTAATGAAAGTCAAAGTTATAAAACAAAAGGAACAAAGGAACAACAGCTCCTGCTCATTATAGTCAAGTACAGTACTGTACTGTATTTGCCGCTTGTTGTTTAGTGTCGCCCTCTAGCGTCTTCAGAATACTGGCCTGTGCCCGAAGCATCCTTGCAAGGCTACCAGTAAAACATTTTTCATTGACAGATATTAACTTTCTTCATTCACTGTCTTGTCTTTACAAAAAGTAAGGATAAAATGGAATAAAACAGTGAAATGCTTTGTAGCTTTTGTACTCATTGGCTTTTTGCAGGTGGCCTATATGTGAAGAAATTGATGGTAGCCTTTGGATCCAAATTTGGTGGTTGCTGAGATTTATGGAAAGGAAGGAATGCTCCACCCTTTGTGACTGAACATGGAAGAACAGACTCCTGTTAAAAGTAATAAAGAATCGATAAAATATGCCAAAGATGAACGATCCTTCAGAGTTTAGAAAAGGAAGTGGCTATCTTGATTGTTACAACAGCAGCAGTGAAATTCAAGTTTCCATCATTGCCACCATCATCTATATCTTTTTAATGTTGTTTTCTCTGACCTGTTCAAAGACACTTCTGGACAGATGTTTTAGAGGCTGTCTTTGCACCATCTTTGTGAATCCCTGAAGGTCCTCTGCGATTAAAGGGTTCTCCCAACAGGTCTTCCTTAAAGTCATGCCTGTTCTCTGCTTGTCCTGAAAGCCCACTCTTATACTTTGCTGTAATAGGTGGCATACTCTTTCTTAGGTGGGTTAGGGCGTGCAGTTTCTCCTGCCCAGCCATTCTGGATAACCTCTCGGTGGAGGCACAAAGGAGGCTTGCATTTGTGCCAGTTCTTCAAAAGTTTGTTCATGGCCCCTTGATCCATGATACCCAATAGTTTTTCCTTTTCTTCTCCTGGTTCTGAAGGTGTCTTCTCGGGAAAGTGTGCATGGCCCATGCTCAAGTCCTTGTTCATGCCTTCAAAGAACTGCTGGATGCAAATCTTTGCAAAGCTTTTCGCATGCTCTGTACAAGTTTCATCAAAGAGCTTGCGCTCAATGTCAATGTAGTGAGACCAATACTTGCTCTTTAAGAAGGCGGCTTGAGTGAAGCAAGGACGCAGTGAGCGAACAAGAAATGCCAACAAGGTCATCAACAGCACGAAGGACCAGCCCATGGCCTAGATGGGGAGAAAATAAATAAATCATAACATAGCACGCTGATGTGTGTGTGTGTGTGTGTGTGAGGGGGAAGGGGTGGGATCTGTAAAGGAAATATGTCTCAGACCATACATTGCACTACATAGCTTTGTAGTAATGTGAGTGAGTGAGTGAGTGAGGGGGAAGGGGTAGGATCTGTAAAGGAAATGTGTCTCAGACCATACATTATACTATATAGCTTTGTAGTAATCAACTTAGATACCAATTCAGCAAGTTCATTTCAATCTATAAAGCCTTAGTAGTGCCTTTATATTGGCTTGAGGCCATTATATTAGACAGAACATCTCTCCTGCCATGAACTCACACACATAAACATTGAGATCTTCATCCTAGTCTCTGATTCAAAGCAAGTTCAGGGAATGATGGCAAGACAAAAGACTTTTTTAAGAGTAGTACGAGGAGGTGCTGATAAGTATTGAGCTTTTCCCAGAAAAAAAAATGAGCTAGGAAGCTATAAATTGCAGGGTGTATTGGCCAATTTGTCTGTATTCAATGGTGCAAAAATCAACTACCAATGATTTTAACTTATCTTTCATGTTCAGGTCCAAAGTGAACATGGCTGCACCTCCAGAAAAGTTCAATGTGGAAGAGCATAGGACCATAATCAAGTTCTTGTTTCTCCAAGGGAAAGGGGTAAAGCAGATCCACAATGAAATGGCACAAACTATGGGTGACAGTGGCCCTTCATATGCAACAGTTAAACGTTGAGTTATCAGTTTTGAAACTGGCCATTTCGTTGCTGAAAGTGAGAAACCCAGTGGAAGGCTTTTTTCTGTCTCTGTGCCTGCAAATGTGAAAGCCATCCATGACATAATCATGGAGGACCGCCGAATATCAGCCAAAAGTATTGCTATATATCTGAGAATATCACGTGAGAGAGTTGGTGCCATTATCCACAACGACTTAGAAATGAGAAAACTGGCAGCATAGTGGGTCCCCAAATTTTTGACAACCAAGCAAAAAAGGTAATGTGTGGAGTCATCGGTGGCTGCTTTGGAACATTTTGCAAGAAATGAGTCAAATTTCCTGGGCAAACTGGTAATTATCTTTCATGTTCAGGTCCAAAGTGAACATGGCTGCACCTCCAGAAAAGTTCAATGTGGAAGAGCATAGGACCGCAATCAAGTTCCTGTTTCTCCAAGGGAAAGGGGCAAAGCAAATCCACAATGAAGCATCAAGGAAAAAATGTAGAGGAAAAGCTCTCCAAAGGTGTCATCCTGTTGCATGACAACACCTCGTCACACACTGCAGGTGAAACAATGACAAAACTGACCTCCTTAGGCTTTCAAGTGATGCCCCATCCACCCTATTCTCCTGACCTGGCCCCTTCTGACTAGTATCTGTTCCCCAAACTCAAAAAACACCTAAAGGGAAAATGATTTGGGAGAGTTCTGGAGACAATTAATGCTGCAAATGAGTGGTTACACCAGCAATTGGAAGAATTTTATTTGCAGGGACAGATGTCACAAGTGCACTGACTTCCTGGGGGAATATGTAGAATAGTGTGGCAGTTACAGCTTCCTAGCTCATGTTTTTCTGGGAAAGGCTCAATCCCTATCAGTACCCCCTTGTAGTCCCCCCCCCCATCCTCTTTTTTCTGGGAAAGGCTCACTACTTATCAGTAACCCCTCGTAGTCCCCCCTCGGCTGAAATTTACAGGTTACTCTTCAAGTGAAACTGCCTGGCCCTGGTATTACTGTATTTTCAGAAACAGAGTAAGATATTTCTCTGCTCTCAGGCATATAAGAAAAGGATTGGGTGGTTTTTAATAGTGGCACTATGCCAATTCATTCTTTTTATGATTTATTATACGTATACAGCTTTATATTATAAATACATGGTTTAATCTTTTGAGAATGTTGTTCATTTTAATGTTGCAAAACACTGCGAATCTTTCTTAGAAAAGACATCTAAAAAAATCATCATAAATTCTTCTTCCAGAAGTCTATGTGTTGTGGAGCTGGTATGATGAAATCTTTAAAAGATGTGATGTGATTGCTTATAGAATTATGGGGCTGCTGCCAAGCTCATGTAGAGACTGGAAAAGTTACATTTTGTACTACAACTCCCAAAATACCCCAGCCAGTCCTGAGGAGTGCTGAGAGTATAGGCCAAAAAGTTTCCAGGTTTATGTCTGAGAATTTTCTGATTGGACAGTTCACTTCATTTATGCCCTGCCTCTCTTCCAGTGCAGGACCTGAAAAGGCACACAACAGGAATTAAAACAGAATCAGTTTAAAAATACAATAACTTATGACATTAAAACGCAATTGAATATGTTATGGATTAACATATAAGCAACAAATCAAAAGATTTTTAGGCAACAAATCAAAAGACGTTTAAAAGGCATTTAAAAGCACAAGATGCTTTTGCCAGCTGGAAGCATAACTTCCCTTGGCAGTTCCACCGCTTTGAAGCCCTCTAAGAAAGCCTTATTTCTTTCATCAGGCATGTATGTGAAGGGGATGAGAGCAAGAGAAAGATTTACCCTGGAGTTTTCCAGACCCAGGCAGGCTCATGTTGTTTGAACCCAGTCCATATAGGGCATTACAAGTCATGATCAATACTTTGAAATATATCTGGGAATGGAGCACAAGCCATTGAAGTTTTAGTAACAAGTTATTTCTGTTTTAATTTTAACCATCTCTGTTCACCAATCTGGCCATAGTATCTTGGCCACAGTCAAGTTTCCAAAGACAATCTCATGTAGAGAAAATTGGAATACTCTAGGTGACACGGTGGCACTACGGGTTAAACTGCAGAAGCCTCTGTGCTGCAAGGTCAGAAGACCAGCAGTCATAAGATCGAATCCACGTGACGGAGTGAGCTCCCGTCACTTGTCCAACTCCTGCCAACCTAGCAGTTTGAAAGCATGCAAAATGCAAGTAGATAAATAGGTACCACCTCGGTGGGAAAGTAATGGCATTCCGTGTCTAGTCATGCTGACCACGTGACCACGGAAACTGTTTACGGACAAACGCTGGCTCTACAGCTTGGAATTGGAGATGAGCACCGCCCCCTAGAGTCGGACATGACTGGACTAAATGTCAAGGGGAACCTTTACCTCAGGTGACATATGAATAGAGCATATGTCACCCTGGCCAGATTAGCCTTCAGAAATGGGCAAAGCTGGTGCACTAGTTTTTTACTGGACAAGCACACATCTAGCCACTGCTGAAATCTGGGGATCAAGGCTCAGGGCTTCTTACGGCATGTTTTCCTTTTTTGAGCTCCATCTTCTGAAGCTCCTTAGCTCCATCACATTTCAAAAAGGGGTGTGGTTGGATAGGTAGAAAAATAGTATTTCTTCTTTACTGTAGCCATGTTACCTTCTGTCTGGACTAGATTTTTCTGTCTTGGGTCATGCTGATTTGCAGGAAAAGGAAGATTCGGGATGCAAATATTTACATGAGAGGAATCTGCTGCCGAGTGCCATGGTGCTTCCTCCCAGCTAGATGAGTATGTAATTGCATACTCAATTCTGGTATACACTGATTGTTTTCTCCTCAAATGCAGTATGAATAAGTTATTAAGTTTTTCCAAACCAAAACATGAGCTGAACTGTTATTTAAACATTTCTCACAATGCTGAGTCAGGTTGCAGTATAAAATAAAATGTGCACAACCACAGTGCTGTAATTGCTAGTGTGCTGTGGTCACTTGTGGCTTGAGCCTGAGTAGAATTTTCTCTGCCATGTCAGCAAATTCAATTTTTTTCCAGTTTATCTTCAACTCATGTTTTCCTGTCGTTGCTTTTTTTTTCATTTTTATTTTTTAAAGAGTGTATTTCTTCAGCCACTGATGGACAGCAAGAAATATACTAGTGAAAATCCTCTTGGTGTTTGTGTAAAGATTGTGCAACATATTGCAGCTAATTGATGAGTTGTTGGGGTGGATCTCAGTTACCAAATCAGCTGCATGACCAGGAACATGGCTGAGAGATGCCTTGGCAGCCTGCCAATTGGCTGCAATTACCTCTGGCCTTACATGAACTTTACGTGGCTACCAGTGGGATTCTGGCCATTATGCAATATTCCTTGCCTGAGAAAAGAAACAATCACCCAATTAATACATAGCATAGGAAGGATAGAGGTCCAAAGTGCCAGGCGATGCCAGTGGAAACAGGCTGGTGGCAGTATCTGATAGAGGGGAACGCCAGTGGTCAAACCAAATTATTGCTTCATTCCCGGGTGAAGACCTGGAGAGTATTTGCATCCTTTACAGGACGAGAAGGAACAAATATAGATAGAACACCACAAGCAACAGGAAGAGACTGTCTTGACTTGTGTAGGTCAGGCTCAGGTCATTAGATATATTTAACTGTATTTGTATTAGAAATTTGAATGGCAAATTTGAAATGAAGTATAGCAAGGAGTTTAATAAACAGGAATTAACTCTTCCTCTTAGCTGCCTTCTGTAATTCATGCTTCTTGTTGAAAAGAATACATGAAATGAATACAGTAAGAAAGCGATTTTTTTGCTATGCTGCATACTGTAGATGCTCACTATATGAATGCAGGACTAGCACATATGAAGATTTCTCCTTACAAGGTGAGCGAATATGAACAAGGCCAAGGCATGCTATTATCTAAGGCTATATCCATTTTCCATTCTGTAATTCATGCTTCTTGTTGAAAAGAACACATGAAATGAATATAGTAAGAAAGCAATTTTTTGCTATGCTACATACTGTAGATACTCACTATATGAATGCAGGACTAGTACATATGAAGATTTCTCCTTACAAAGTGAGCGGATATGAACAAGGCCAAGGCATGTTATTATCTAAGGCTATATCCATTTTCCAAGATTAAGGATAACAACAACAGTGATTTTTGATCCCAATCAGCTTACTCCTGTTCCATCACTACTTATTGCTTACCTGAGAGATACAACGCAGATACCTAGTTGCCACCTCTTTGGCAATTAGTTCTTGTCCATTGTAAATTTCTTTGCAGGGAATCCGAGCTAGAATCCTCTTCAACTCCTTCTCGGGTGGGTGTGTATAACTGTTGTTGCCCAACTTCTCTATAGGCACAGTGGTGCTGAAGGCGCATATAAAGCATTCTCCATGCAACAGTGTCACTGAAATCCATACTGCAGGTGCAATCATAGCCCGCTGAGCCATGGAGCAGAACATATAACGCAAAACAGCAGGGTCCTTCTGACGCTTTCCTATGGGTCTTCTCCATTCTTCAGCCAACATGGAGACATTGTTATTCATCACAAAGCCCAGTAAGAATAAGACGAGGGGTGGCACAATCAGGATACCCATCCCATAAACTAAATTATAACCAGGTAGACACGGACAGGTGAAATCAAAAGCTACATAGATCTGTGCACTGGCAAGAGCCATAATGCCACATATGCCATTCATAAATGACTCCTGGTTGGACTGGAGAAACTGGAAGATCATCCGGAATTTATCCATTCTTGGTTTTTTTAAGAAGCCCTTTTTTTTAGCAAGATGAAATCAGAGCATTTCCCCACCTTTTTTCTATGAAAAAGAAATTCCAGTGTGCCTTACCTAAGTCATTTTGTCTTCTAGACTCTTCTTTTACACCAATTTCCCCATTACTCAGAAAGCATATCCTTTCTTCCTTGCCGCCTGAAGCAAATGACTGCTATATTTATCTCATGACTGAATCCCTGCTCCTGCCAACTTGATTTGGGCTGTAATGTATTTCCTTTTCTGAAAAGTGAATTGTATAGCATTGTCAGGTAAGTTTCAGCTTGGTGCAGTAAGCCCTTCTTTCTTCCTGGGAGACATCATTCTCTCTTAAAAACCATTTTTAAGGTCACATTTTCATGGTGAGATGAGTTCTTCTGGTAGTTTTTTTAAAATCTCTCTCAGGCACTCTTTGTCTGGAAAAGATTTCTGTGAACGCCTTTAGAAATGGCGCATGCTCCTCCCTCAGCCCTCAATAGGAGAAAGGTTTGCCACACCTTTGTCATTTCACCTGGGGGAAAAGGAGAAAGTACAGCAACTATGCAAAGAGGATGTAGGTAACAAAAATACAGCTCAGCAGCTCACCAGCTTTTCTCATCTTTCTTTTGCTCTTTGTTTGTTTTCCTAATTCTGAAAACCATCCCTGCCTTGGAATATGTCTTGGGCTGGGCTGTGTTATGCAAAACTGCATGGGTGGTAGGAGTGGTAAATCTTTGCTTTCTGTATAAACTGTTGTTTCAGTGTAAAGCAGTGCTCTTTCCTTTTACTTTACCTAACTGCAAAGCATATTTTCTACTAGATTTTCCCTGTATAAAAATGTGGTATGAAGGGCAAACTCAATGGGAGCCATCAAAGCAAGGGTGGGGAACAGTGAGCAGGGCTACTCCCTATTACTATGTCTTTCCTGCTATTGTTAACCAGAGCTCATTCACTCTCTTGCACACATGCACACATGCACTCTCACTCAGGAACACACACATGGCTCACTCTACTGTGCAACCTTTTGTGACAAGGTCTTTTGGTACCTTAAAATTAAGAAATTCAGCATAAGCTTTTGTGGATAGCAGCACAGTACATCAGATGTTATCAGAAACGTATGAAGAAGCACCATAAATATTGCAGTATTACCTGAGTATTGTGTTGCTCTTTATGTAACTGCCAAATTGCTTCTGACTTGTGGCAAATGAATGAACTGATCATCCCCAAATGTTGTATATTTAACAGTCCTGCTTGTGACTGGCAAACTAAAGGCTAGGACTTCATTTATTAAGCCAATCCATCTCATGTTAGGTCTTTGTTTATTGACTTCCACTTTTCCCAGCATTATTGTCTTCTCCAGTGAATTTTGTTTTTTCATTAAGTGTTCAGAATATGATAACCTCTGTTTAGTCATTTTAGATTCCAATGAGAGTTCAGACTTGAGTGGATCTAAAACCCATTTACTTGTCTTTCTGGCAATCCGTAATGTTCGCAAAGCTTTCCTCCAACATTTCAAATGAATGCTTTTTTTTCCTTGTCAGCTCTCTGGAATATTATCCAAGACATTTTCTTTCTGTATGTAATTCTGATTGAAAGCAAACAACCTTATAAGAAAAAGTCACACAAACAACAACATGAAAGAGGAAAATGTAGAAGGATGACAATGCAAAGTGGTTTGCAGTGAGTAGAAGTCAAACTATGAGCTGTGGGTGGTGATGTGAAAGGAGATGCACATCAAAGCCTTGTGAAAAGGGAAACCCAATAAAAAGCTTCATGGTATATTTGTAGAGAGCTTCAGGGGAACAATCTGTGTAAACTCATTAAGTGGAGGCTGAAGGCCTCCTTCACAGTACTGTGATTGAGCACACCAGTGTCCTCAAAATTGTTAGGTGCTCAGATGGATTCAACACAAAACTGTGGCTCACTGCCCAAGTGGCGAACAAGCATGCCATGCCTTATTCCACGGTAGCTATTTAGCATGTTCTTGGAGCTGCTGTAATAAACTGCTGAAGAGAAAGTGAACAAAATCTGAAAATTAAGATAGAGTTTCATACTAGGGTTGTGCAAATCACAATTTGGACAAATGACAAATTCAAAACTGAATTGACTTTATTCAGACTGATTTTTATGAAATCTGGATCAAAACAGAATGGCTGAATTCACTTCCAGGATAAAGTGAACCAAGTGTATGAACTGATTCCATTCTGAGGATGAATTCAATCAGAGGGAAATCACATGAGTCTACTTGTTTTCCTTCCATGACAATCCCCAAAATAAGATGCCAAAGTCAACCACCTAACTCTTTCTAATAACAGGACTGGTCCTGAGAAGAGAAGAGAGAAAAAAAGGAAAGTGAAAATCAGGAAAACGCTATGCAGTTCCTTGCTAACATTTTATCTACATTGAACATTGAGTTAAGAGCTCCAGGATAGTACTATAGCAAGGGTGGGCAATTAATTTCTATTGGGGGGGGGGAGATGAAAAATCTGAACTGTGTTCCAGGGCCAAAACAACTTTACTTAAAAATAAAATGAAACAGTGATGTTATGATTGTTTTTATTTTAAACTTGGTAATCTTCACAAATACTAGAGAGATTTTTTTGCAGTATGTTAAAGATAAGCAACTGATCAACTTTAGACAAAGAGCTATAAATGGTTTTGATGTTCAAAACTGTCCACGGGCCGGACAGGAGCAGCTCACGGGCTGTATGTGGCCCTCGGGCTGCACTTTGCCCAGGTCTGTACAATAGTTGAAAATGCAAAACATAATGATCTGCCCTTTTCATTATATCCAAAATAGCTTTACTGATATGTTTTGATAGCAAAACAAACAATACGATATAATATAACCAGGAACCCAATGATGCGATACTCTGAGCAATAACAATGTCAATGGATGCTTAGCTCCATAACTTCATAATCAAACATTGCATTCCAATCTTTTTGCTGTCTGGAAGAACTGAGAAATATCCTTTAGCAGAAATTAGCATGCAAGTTAAATCTACATCTACTTCGTTCATCAGCCGCTTACTTAGGAAAAATATCCAATTTGATTAAGGAACATGGTAAACAGGGAAGGTAAAACTCTTAATCTCTGTATTTTACATCTCTTTGAGTGTATCTGTGTAAAACTAAATTAGAATAAGTCCCTCATATATGGAGAAGACTGAAAACTATTCTGAATAAGCGTCTGCCATGAAACTGCAGTTAAAATGCAGAAATCTGCAACTGATAGAAGTATGACCTGCCTGATTTTCCCCATTTTATTTTCATGAATGAATTCAGAGCTGCAGAACTGTAGACATCAAAAGGATTAAGGCATAAATTGGGTGCCTCTCCTCCTTAAAAAGTATGTGTACATTCATTTTATATGTTTAGCTTGCTAACAATACACATGCAGTTCCTTTGATCATGAATACTTTGTTACTGGCTGATCAAAGCTGGATGCAATGGGCAAACAGCATTTGGCAGAAAGACAATTGAATTATCTTTTGGCAATGATAATGCAAAAAACAAAAACAAAGAAGCAAAGAAAACACCATACCACATAAGGAAAAGTGTTTATTCTCTGCTATAAAAGGATGGAAGCAGCAACATTCTTCAACATCCAAATGTAGCAACAATAAAAACATTCAAACAACTATACTTGTGGTAACATTATAAACAATTCCTCTTTTTTCTCATGATAATGTGATCGTCTGGGTCTCTATTTATGGTGTCTGGTTTCTTTAGGACAGTGGTTCTCAACCTTGGGTAACCCAGGTTATTCTTGGACTGCAATTCCCACGGGCCTTCACCACCAGCTGTGCTGGCTGCAGTTTAGGATGAAATGTATTTTTAAAAATAAAGTATAATTCTCAGCCTTCTCTGTTACCAAGTGTATAAGGCAGACTTTTACAGCGTTACAAAAATGGCCCACCTGTCAACCATTCTAAATGCAGGATCTCTACTGGTAACCTGCATCCATACTCCATTGAATTCCTTATCAAGACAGAATATCTGGATAGTCCTGTGTGCCTTCTAGAAACAAAAGATGAAACCAAATCTGTTAGATCACTTGTCCTCCTCCTTCTTACAGTTTTGTCAGCACGCTCTAGAACTGTGGCTCTAGAAATCCTAGCCAGCATAGCTAGTGATGAAGACTTCTGGGTTTTTAGTTCAAGAACATCTGGGACTCAAGGTTGGGAACCACTGTTCTAGACCACTGGTTCTTAACCTTGGGTTACTCAGGAGTTTTGGACTGCAACTCCCAGAAGCCTTCACCACCAGCTGTCCTGACTGGGGTTTCTGGGAGTTGCAGTTCAAAAGCATCCGAGTAACAAAGGTTAAGAACCACTGCACTAGATCCTCAGCCTGTATAGCTGCTGGCTCACCCACAGAAGCTCTGATGCTAACCTGAATGGGCCAGTGTATCTGGTGGGTGCATTAAAGCAAGCAGGTGCATGTGGAATGCTTTCTCTGTGGCCCTGCACTTATCAAGTCTGGATCTGTGGCTGTCCAAGGATGTAAAATGGATACATCCACGTGACCTCTTTGATTGTCAGCCAAAGTAGCTGGTGTGAGCAAAGGTTAAACCATTACACAAGGGAAGGACCAAGTATTATTTAACGTTTGTGCTATTGGATTTACCGTTCTTTACACAATTTCCAACATGTATTTGTGTATCTCAAACAAAGGTTAAACCATTACACAAGGGAAGGATCAAGTAATATTTGATGTTTGTGCTATTGGATTTACCTTTCTTTACACAATTTCCGAACATGTATTTGTGTATCTCAGCATGTTGGCAGAAGAAAAAGTCTAAAACATTTGGAGGGAATCCAGTGGGGAGGGCCAATCTATCACTATTCCTTCCTTGACTCTGCTCTTCCTGCTTTGATTCTCTGGCATGAACTCGATTTGGGAAAGTTTTCCATCCCTACAAACAATTCCAGTTTCCAAAGCAAAACAAGGCAGAGTCTTGCTATGTTTTTCTCTTTCCCTTCCTTCAGAGACTCGTGGCATGAATGTGAGCTGTGTAAAGAAGGTTGTGGGTACTAGAGGTAGTGGCTATATTCAACCAAGGGTTAATATTGCTGATAGCTGTAAAAAGACCAACTCAATTACATTTTGCTGAATGCCCCACGCCAATCCATCTATAAGAGGACAGAAGGTCTCTGTTTACTTTCTGAGATGGAGCATATGGCACAACATGGAGTGCATAGCCATACTTGGGCAGCTGTCCAACCTACTCAGAAGTATGTGAACTGATACTGAACTAAATAAGGACAGACTCAATGGCAGCAATCCTCCCGTCCTCTTGTCTTCACCAGGAACAATGCTTCTTCCATCTCTCAATTCTCCTTTCATTTCTGATATTGTGTTGTTGCTACTGCTGCTGTTGTTGTTACAGTTACATCATATGTACACATGAGGATTTATTAATAAATAAATTGACAGAAAGAATGGTTGAATTTTTACCAGGTCCAATAGATTTTTCTAGGCAGTCAACAATACATTAGAATTATAACATAAAAATAAAATAACAGTTGCACGTAACAGCATATAGTAGTACCAGATATACTAGATTCCAACCTCAAGGTGGTTTACAATCCAAAATAAACACAAGGAGACAACAGGGGGAGGAGAAATCAGAGGCCCACATAAGCATAAGAAAAATATGTTGCACTTCTATTAGTTTGGGAGCCTGTGTCCTGAGCACACTCCTGTACTGCAGTGAGTCCTGGACCCTTCATGCACGGCAGGAGAGGAAGCTGAACACTTTCCATATGCGTTGTCTCTGATGCATTTTTGGTATCACTTGGCAGGACAAAGTTCCAAATAGAGTAGTCCTAGAATGAGCTGGAATTTTTAGCATGTATACATTACTGAAACAGCGACGTCTATGTTAGCTAGGGCATGTTGTGAGAATGGTTGATGGTCGGATTCCTGTATGGAGAATTATTGCAGGGAAATCGCCCCAGAGGGAGACCACAGCTGCAATACAAGGATATCTGCAAGCGGGACATGAAGGCCTTAGGAATGAACCTCAACAGATGGGAAGCCCTGACATCTGAGCATTCAGCTTGCAGGCAGGCAGTGCATCATGGCCTCTCCCATTTTGAAGAGACCTTTGTTCAGCAGGGCGAGGCAAAGACTAGCAAAACTAGCAAAATTAGGGAGCAGGACAGGGAACAGATTGTATTTGTTTTCAGTGTGGAAGGGATTGTCACTCTGGAATTGGCCTTCTCAGCCACACTAGACGCTGTTCCAAGTCCTCCATACAGAGCACGTTACCATAGTCTCTTGAGACTGAAGGATGCCTAATCTTCATAAAAGTTTTGTAATTGCTGAAACATTTGACAAGTCAATGACCTTAATGATAACTTAAGAGTAATATCAAAGGAGGATTTCTGTTTGTGGCATAAAACAGAAGAACAGAGGATAGTGTCTTATACCAGGTCAGAGCATTGGTTCACCTGAGCCAGAATTGGCAACTCTGACTGGTTGCAGCTCTCTTGGTTTCAGACAGGATTCTTGTAGCAGGCCACTCTCAAGCCTCTACCAATCCAGGCCTCCAGGAGTGCTCACTACTTCTCTCCATGGGCTGCTGCCACCAACCTATCCTTAAAATCAAAAGGACAAGTGTTTCTTTCAAAACAAATAAAGTGTTTATTGATCTGTACAAAATTAAAAGGGTAAATCACAGGTATTAAATCAATTAGTCAACCACTGTTTATAAGACACTAGCTCACACAGACTTTTCCCTCACTGACAGGCTCTTTCTCACTCTCAATCAATCTCTCTAATCACTCATCTTCCAAACTCAATCTCCTCTCACACATCACACACACCTTATATAATCCAGCCCCTCCCACTTCTGCACCACCTTCCGTCCTCTCATTGGCTGAGGTTCCCCTGTCCAGCTGTGACGGACAGGCGAGAGCAGAGCTGCACGCCACAATTCTTTCCAAGGCCTGCCTGGAAATCCATGGTATTTTCTCATGGCCTCAGATCCAAGTACTAATCAGGCTCAAGCCTGTTCATCTTCTGAAATAAAACCAGACTTGACTCCACTATCAGAAAAATTCTGCTGCTGTAATTTCATTATTCTTCAGGGGATTCTGTTAAGATGACTACATGCCTGGCTCTCACAACTAAAAACCAGCTATCCTGTATATTTCAATGCTGGGGAGCTGTTCCCCCACCCACTTGGCCCAGACATGATTTCACACAATGACTCATTACAGATCTGCTACATGGCCTTTCTAATTTAGTATATCTGTTCCATGTTATTCTGACTTGTCTACTTGTTATCTAGAGTTACCAGTTCTTCAAAATAAAACCAACTTTTATCTTTAAGAGACACTTGATGTCCCACCATCACATCACGTGGTGGACTGTGACCTTGATTCTTTCACTGATAATTCAGTTTAGTTTGCTTATCCTTTTCCACCACTGTAATCATGGCCAAAATCCTGTTGCTTAGTGTAGCAGGTCATTCCAACGTAGGCCAATCCATGGGGATGTGGTCAGTTAAGTCCTCCACGAATTCCAGTTTTTAAAATGGGCCTATTCTAGTTGCAACTTACTATACTAACCAAAAGCATTTCAACCAATGTGCAAGCTGTGAGCTCTGCTGTTATTTCCTGTATGTTCTATATCTTGCAATTATGGCATATGAAGAAATAAAGGTGAACTCATTTGGGTGGCAATGCAAGTGATCATGTTTTGCTCCATTCCTAGAAAAATGACAGCTGCAGTATTTGCACACCAAACTACTTTTACACCCTAGCTACTTGACAGCTTTATATCTGAGACACTTGATCTGGCAGCCTTTCCCAACCATCTCCAGATGTTTTGGACTACGACTCCCATCATCATGGGCCATTTGCCATGCTCACTGAGGCCAAGGGAAATAAAATTCAAAGCAGCTAGTAGTTCACAAATGGGGGGAAGATCATGATGGGAGTTACCAGAAGTAAATGAGGACAGAGCTCTTGTACCTTTACTAGCTGGGTGGGAGAATAAAAAGATGGGGGAAGCCAAACAAATTGCACCGGGTGAAATTTGTACTGAAATTAAAGATGTAGAGGACCTTTTCTCTTCTGTATCTGATCATCCTAGCTGTGTGATATGGTGTTTATCTAACTCTGAGAAATGTTCACTCTTTTTATTTAAACATCTGTTTCCCTGTTATCTGAGGCCACTAATTGTGGATGCCACCTGTTAATCATACTGCCTGCCCAAGTCATAGATGTCCTCTCTGTGCCTGCAGGTTGTCGCTGTGTTGCTTGGCACAGATCTAATGGTGGCCTGCTTCTGTACCATGACTGAAGAAGCTCATTCATCTGCTCCTGACTGGTGATTCCTCGCAAATGATCTTCTTCCCTTTCCTTCTCCTCTCTTTCTTCTGTGTGAACATGGAACCGTTTCAGTTTGATCTCTTTCTGCATGCTTTCAAAGAAATGGAGGATGCATTTGTGTGCAAAGTCCCGGGCATGTTCACAGCAGGTTTCATCAAATATCTTTTGTTCGATATCAATGTAGTTGCTCCAGTATCGAGTCTGCAAAAAGGCAGTCTGATCAAAGCAGGGCCTGAGAGAACGGGCAAGGAACGCTATCATTATAAGGGTCAGCAGTATGCTCCATCCAAAAGCCTAGGAGCAAAAAGAAATATGACTGAGAACAAGTGAATTGTACAGAAAGCAAACCCATTCATAAGAATACAACATAACCCAAAATACAGCTGGGCAGATCAGGACCAATGGCATTGTGGGAGTTGTAGTTTAAAACACAAATCTACACACCTCTAATACAAAATAACAGTCTTCTGGAGCATCTCTCAGATCCTCTGGTGCAGAGATGCCTAATGTGTGCCCCTCAAGATATTTTGGATAGCTGCTCCTACCCTTTCTGATCACTCATGACACCAGATATGGCTGATAGGAAGCAGCCCAACAATATCTGGGGGTCATTCCTGTTCTAGCCCAAAATGCTGTAGAAACCTTCAGAAAGGGACTATACTATTGCCATTTATTTAGTGCTAGACAATCTAAAGGGGAAAAAAGATTATGATGAAAAGAACATAGAGGAACATGGTCCTTGAGTGAAAGCCTTATATAGTATTTTTATATGCGTTGCCAACTTTGGAGCTGAAAAGGTTCACTACTTCTGTGTTATATGGATAGAATGAAAATGGCAGGAACAGGAGGTGGCAGCAAACACTTTGTCAGGATTTGGGGAATGGATTTTTAGAGCAACGGAAGGACAGTATGGTCGACCAATGTGAAGGAGACCAGTGAGTTTGGTGTCTTTTTCATTGGTCGACCATACTGCCCAACTGCAGCTCTCTCTCCCTTATAACAAACCAGAAAATGTGTTATCAACTACCCAACTGTCAGTAGAAAAAGCTGCGCCCCTACCACTATGTGTCTCTTTATATTGTATCTTTCTGGCAATTTTGATTGTGACTGCCTTTGGGAGCCAATCTTTATTCACACATAATAATACAGTAATAATATTTCATATGCATTGAAAATGAACAAACTACCATATTTTTCTGTGTATAAAATGACACTTTCCCCTAAAATCATTAGAGGAAATATTGAGGGTCATTTTCTACACAGAAGGAGGCAGAGGCAACGGAGAAGCCACACTTGGCTGCCTCTCATGGCTGCCCATTGACTGCTGCCGCCACCAGCGGATCGCCTCCTCCAGCACCACTTGCAGGCTCCCTTCAGGCAGGCAACAAGGCAACAATGTGAGCTGGAGGTGAGCCCTGGCAGGAGGAGGAGGTGATTGGATGGCAGCAGCAGCAGTCAATGGGGAGCCACGAGAGGCAGCTGTATGTGGCTGCTCCTTTGCCTCTCTCTCTGCCTTCTCCTCCTGCTGCTGCTGCCACCTCCGCCACCAGATTGCCTCCTCCAGCACCACTTGCAGGCTCCCTTCGGGCAGGGGACAAGGCAGCAACGTAACTGGGCGGTGGAGGCAGCAGCAACAGGAGACAAAGACGCCCCTTGTGGCTGCCCAATGACTGCTCCTCTGCCTCCGGCAAGAGACAAAATTAGGGGGTCATCATATACATTGGGGGGGTCATATACATGGAAAAATACGCTACTTCAGAATTCTTACCTATCCCACGTCAACTCATATTATGAGACAGATGGAAAAGGTGACTTGCCCAAAGCATTTTATTTGAGACATTATTCCATCATCTATTAGTGCAGGAACTGGGTTACTCTAGAAAAGCTACTTTTAAAGACTATAAGCCCCAGTCATCCAGATAGCAGGGCCACTTGTCTATAAAATCAGGCCCAATAGATGCATATTATATACCTGTGACCAGCATCTGAGGTACCTGGACACTGCCTTGCGGGACGTATTATTCCTCATGAGTTCATCATCCTTACATGGGACCTTGGAGAGCAAGTGCTGTACCTCATCAAGAGAGGTGATATTAGTAACAAAATCTGGAAACGTATCAGGGTCAACGGAACTGCTGAAGGCACATACAAAGCATTTTCCATCAAGGAGGGTGACTATGATCCAAACAACAGGTGCAATCATGGCCCGTTGCAGGACAGAGGAACACATGAACCTGTGATTGGATAAAGAAGGAAGAAATGAATTGCTGTCTTTAAGGCTGTACGTTTTAGCTGAGTAACAAAGGGAGGTATAAGATAGTCACATTTCAATGATCCAAAAGGGGCTACCACATTAGTTTGCTGCAGCAAAAGCAACTAAGACTATTACGGCACATAAAAAATTTATTTAGTTAGTTATTTGAGCCATTTCTCCCCGTAGGAGGCCCAAGGCAGTTCACAATCAGTTAAAACAGCATAACACAAGTTAAAACATAGTAAGATGTAATAACAACACACCCACCTCAGTTTTTTTCTCTGTGTGTAATAAAAATAAAAATAAAATAAAATCATAATTGTTAAGATGTACTTTTGTGGATGAGAGTCATTTGATCAAATATTTATGCTACATGAGTCAATTTCTTTTTTAAAAACCCCTACAAACCTTGCCTTTTCAAAGAATAAAGAACCTTTGTAGGAACTGACACATCCAGTGAACAGAAATTATCTAGCATGTAGAGTCCACTCTGTGGGGACAGGGTCCTGGTCATGAAGGTAACACCTAGTTCTCCCTATTATATTAGGTGGCAACTCCCAACAGCCCTGCTGTGCATAAGGTAAAGGATGAGATGAACCTCTTCATCCCTTGTATGGAAGCCAACTGGTTTGGCCATATAACAGTACCTTCCATTGCACTATAGACAGCAGGATAACGAGGCAATTGTCTCAATCTGCTTAATGTTAGGGACAGTCCTGGGTTCTGCACTGAATCCCATCCATACTGCATGGCACACAAGATCTGCAGGGATTTCCTTTCCTTTTGAACAGTTTTGAGAAGTAAAAAAGAAAGGGGAAAACTTTCTTTTCAGAGCTATGATCAATTAAGGCCTGCTTACCCAAGGGCTATGGGAATTCACTGGGTCATCTACTTAACATTTCAAGGAGAACAATGCCTCAGCAATAAAAATTAAAATAAAAATGTAGCCATCTGTGCAGATCACTTACAACAGGGTGCCAGAGGGAACTGAAAAGGACCAAGGAGACACCACTGATCCAAAGCAAATGTGCCTAACATCTGGGTACTTGTCAAACCCAGATACTTTGAAAGCATACAGTGTTATGTATAAAATAATGACATTTCAGACATCTCAATCATAATGCTGGACATAATCTTAATCTAGCTAGACAAAGACTTTAAATGGAGTAGATACGATGTAGAAAATATGTGACTAGGCTCTCCCAAAAATTCTCCTCAGGGTTTCTCCTCAGTTTTGATGCTTCCAGACAAGGCATTTATCTTACAATCACCCTGCCTCGTTCATAGAAATTGAAATGGTTGGGGATGGTGTCCATGTTCAGATATTGTTATCTCCAGTTTCTCACTGCTTTGTCATTTTCTTATCAAGAGAGAGAAATGATTTAAAAGGGAAAACTGGAAAATGAGTCATGGCAGCTAGACTTCTTTCTTGTTAGGTAGAAATGTTTCAGTACTCATCCAAGTAGCTTCTTCAATCTGAGGAGAGTTGGTAGGAGATCCATGATATATCCTCCACATTGGTTTCACTTCCCCCTGGTCTGAATAGGCTCATTAGAAGAACAAAGGACTGGGGTGAGGGATAATCCCACTTCTGCAGTCCTTCTCACCCCATTGTCATGGGTCGTTAATGGTGGTTAACAGTGGTCACCCAAAAGACTGGATACCAAAACACAACTGGAGAAATATAGTATACGTGGTCCAATACGAACAGGAGTGCTCTACAGGGGTGGAGGCCTTAGATACAATCTGTCTCCTAGTTATCATGCTGCCCTTTCATCCATTCCCAGAAAGATCTGGACCACATCTACCAGAAAGGCCACTGTTAACTACCATTAATGGCTCATGACAATGGGCAGAGAAGAACTGCAGAAATTGGATTATCTCTCACCCCCAGTCCTTTGTCCTTCTAAGGAGCCTGTTCAGACCCCAGAGAAGTGAAAATAACATGGAGAATATATCAAGGATCTCCTACCAACCCTCCTCAGACTGAAGAAGCTACTTGGATGAGTAGCGAAACATTTCAACCTAATAAGATAGAACTCCAGTTGCATGACTCAACTTCCAGATAACCTCACCTGGATGACTGAGAATCTTCACAGATATTTAGGAGGGAAAGTACAGGTATCTGTGTTTTATACTAAGAGCTTCCCACCCAGAACTATGATTAATACACTTCCATGTAGCATTTTCTCTACTGAGATCATGTATTTCCCCCTATTTATTTAGGCGAAATTTTGTTGGATGGGTGGGTGGTTGACTAGGTGTGTTGGAAGGAAGGAATTTGGAGGGATGAATTAGGAAAATAATTTAGGAAGAAATTGTTAAAATCTTTATCTTCCAGAAGTGCAGAATCCCACCCATCCATACTATTTTTAAATGTAAAAAAACATGCATGTTCTCTCATTACTTTTAGTTTTGCCCTGAGATAAAAGTGCCTCTGGAATCCCTGCATACAAATACGTACGTATTATTTTCCGTTGGGCATGCCACACTTTTGAAGTTCAAGACTGTGCAGTATGACTATACATGCGGTTTACATTAACGCATCTCAGTAATTTATGATGATCTCCAGTACAGCAAAGACTTCCAGATTCTGTTAAAATATACCTTTATATGAATTCTAAATAATATTAAACAAGTAACTTTAAGGAACGTTACAGTCTGCGACCAGCCAGAGCAAAGAAGGGAACAATGACTAAAATCTCCCACCTGATTATGGCCAGATTCTTCTTCCTGTCCCCAATAGGTCTTTTCCATTCTTCAAGCATCACCACAAACTGTCTGTTGACAATAAGCCCACAGAGAAAAAGTGCCACTGGTGGGATGAACATGATTCCCAAACCATACACCATGTTGTATTTAGCAAGACAAGGACAGTTGAAGTCAAAGGAGGTGTAAATCTTGACACTTGCCAATGCGAGAAGTGCACAGATCCCATTTGTCACTGACTCTGAATTAGACTGGAAGTACTGGAAGATCATCCGAAATCGATCCATTATGACACTTAGGATCCTTTTCTCTAAAGAAAATTTGGTCTCCTTTCAGAGAGAGGAAGCACGGTCTGGTCTGGTCTGGTCTGGTCTTGGAAGCCCTAGTTGCCAGAGTGTTCTGTTGAGCTCTATGAGATCTGTTGAGTTCAAATTTGGAAAAACAGTAGGCAGAAAGGGCAAATAACAAGGCACTTACTTTTGCACAGATGCCCTTCCCAGTTGTTTTGCATTAATCCCACGTTAACTTTGTTGTGTATTTTTTGGCTTCATGTCTAGAAATCTTATTCAACCTCCATTGACCCAACTGTTCTTTCCAGCCGTATTTATATCGTATTCATGTGTTGTTGAATCAGGATGAAATATTAAGCCTGGCTGATTCACTTTCAGAAGAAGATGAATAGAACTTTCCTGGTACTATAATAGCTCCATTACAATATAGCTAAATCACAGAAATCTTTTGTATGTCAACCAGCTGCAGGTTGCATTGTTTATCTTCCAATGTGGAGACTGTAGCTGGTGCACCATAGAAAATGTAAGTTGTTTTTAAACATACAAAGGCTAATTTCTCCTCTTTCCGTGGCAGTTCTCTTGTGTTCCCAAAGATGAATCATCACTGATGGGTGTGAGAAACCAGGCTAATCAAATCAGGTATTTTGCTTATAACTCTCCTCCTCTACATCCTGTTGTTAGAGGAGCTGGCTGTAATGCAGTGACTTTTATACTGCCTGAAAGAGGATACAGGAAACATTAAATACAAGACTCGATTTCTTGTCTTGCATTTTGACTGCTGTACGTATGTTCTAACAACTTTATAAGCTTCTCCATCAAAACCAAACAAGTTTGTTTGTAACACATTTGGTGTGATGCTTACTAGAACTGATTTTGTGGGATTCTAGGAATGGAGCATCATGACATGGCTGAGTTTACAGTGAAAGAAATGGTGCCCAGTAGGGTCTTCAGCAGCACTGCTATCCATGTCTTGTTCATGACCCAAGCTGAAAGTAGCATGGTATAGTATGTGGCATGGTTGTTCTTTACAAGTATGTACTGCTTCTGGTTTATTAAGAAACATAAAAGCATATGGCTCTTGGTCTCAAACAACTGGAGAGGACTCTCTGGGAAAGGTTATAGTACACTGTCAGGTTGAGAGGTAAACAGCCCTGCTCAGCTCTTGCAAACCCAAGACTGTGGCTTCCTTTATTGAGTCAATCCATTTCTTATTTGGCACTTCTCTTTTCCTGCTACCTTCAACCTTTCCTGACATTATTGTCTTTCCCAGTTCAGCTTGCCTTCTCATTATGTGTCCAATGTACAATAGCCTCAGTTTAATGATTTTTGTTTCTAGGAAGAGTTTAGACTTGATTTGATGTGGAACCTGTTTATTGTCTTTCTTGCGGTATTCTCAATGATTTGATGTGGAACCTGTTTATTGTCTTCCTTGCTGTATTCTCAAAACACTTCTCCAACACCACATTTCAAATTAATTTGTCCCCCCCCATCAGCTTCATCACTGTCATCTCACATCTGTACCTAATGACTTTGAATCCCTTATGCATACACAGTATTTTCATTTTTATGTACAGATCCTATATGTATACATAGCTCATACCCTCAGTTGAACATACAGAAGTTGGGTATGGGGCTGGATGCTGTAATCCTGCTCTCTTCTTTCCCTGTAATCATATCAATGGATATGCCACCTAGTTAGGTCTTGTGATAAAAACCAATCGAATTTAGGAGTGCCTTACAATATTCTCCAAAAAATATCTATAGTTTAAAGTTAGGACAAATTGTAATTGATGTCACAAAATGTCCATATGACAATCTTTGTATAATCTGGGTTATGCCCAATATAGTTCACAAAATTCAGTGAAGAACAAATTTTATAAATAATGCTAACAGGTCACTGAACCCATTTTCGAAAGCAGACAAATTCAGAGTCATTTGCAACAGATTATATAGATCCTCTCTATATTAGTGTGGGATTAAATGAATGAAATCAAAGTTACAGTTCTCCAGTTTCTCAGAGCTGGTAATGGTGTCATGTTCTTGTTTGTGCCTGAGGTTCAACATGTATAATGTTAAGAACTCCTGTCAACAAGCAACCAAAACATAAGGTTTCAGAAAAAGCACTCTTCAATACAGCCCAGAAAGTTACTTTCAAGAAGAATGGATGTATTAACATGCTGCAACCCTCAATACAAAGATCATCAGAGTCCCAGAGTGAAACCTACTACTGCTTGGTTGTGGATGACTTCATATGTCATCTAATGTTAGCTGGACTTAGATTAAACCCACTGAAAACAATGCCAATGCGTTTGTTGTGATTTACAAGTCTAATTTATTTCACTGAGCTCACTTAAAATTGGATCTACCTCCATTATAGTGATTCTTTTAACAAATAACTTTCCAATCTCAATTTCAAGGTTCATCTGGATCTAGCTTATTAACAGAAAGCCTTCTTAAAGATTTATGGGTGCCAACACAATTTCCCCCCCCAAGGAATAAGAAAATATTTTGTCATTTTTAAAGTTGAATTGTTCCAATCCATATTGTCACAGTAGATAAGAATTACTATTGTATCAACACCTGATTCAGACACAAGGAGGCAGTGTTTGGCAATCAATAATGAAGCACTTATTCTGTAGGCTTTATAAATGTTACCTTTATCTGTTATCTACTACTAAAGCCCAACCATAATTTTTTATGTTTTTAACAATTATATTTCTCGGCCTTTACCTGCAAAGTGCTGGAGGCTGCTTCTTCATTCTGCTGTGGGGAGTACCTTGGTACCATCTTCACTAATGTGAGAGTTTTTATTAAGCATTATATTACTGCCACTTCAGTGGATTCTGTCTGGTATCTCAAAAGAAGCATAAGAAGGCTTTCTAGTAACAGCACACTGGTTATGGAACCAAGAATGCGATATTCCCATGGGCATCCTGGTTCTGTCTGTGCTAACGTATTCTCTGTGCAAAGCAAAGAACCCTTTAATCTAAATTGTTATATCTTCAGATATTTCTGTTTTTATATGAGGTCATGTTTTTGTGTTCTTATCACCATTTTTTTCTTTTATATTTGAAGCCACAAGGCCAATCTCTTTGAAGGGAAGAATATAAATTCATATAATAAATAATAAATAAATCTTGATCTAATTGATTTAGTAGTGAAAAATAAGAGTTTTAGTCAAAGACATATCTAGTTCCTGCCAAACTCAGGGTGCAACTACATAGTGAGGGAAATGCACTGTGAAATTGCAGTGAAGAATTCAGTACTTTTTTATTTAAGTGCCCATACAAACAGGGGAGTAAAAACCTTCTAATTGCAATTCTATTTGAAGCGCCTGTAGGTGGTGCAGTTCAAAGCAATTGATTTAAGAAGGCTTTCCTTCCTTGATGTACTCATACCTCATCTTATCTTGCTGATCATAGAGCTTATTAAGGTATACCAAGTAAATAAATAAAATAAGCAGGAGCTCTGCCCAAGGAAAAACTATAAAAAAATAATAAGTGATTTGGGAAAGAGGATTTGCAGCGAGAGGTGAATGCTACCACTGTTGGTGTGTTTGAATGTGCTCTCCTAATCCTCCCTCATGAGGCAGAAGGCAAGGGGGAAAGTGTTTTGCTAAAGGACTGCTTTGCATGTATATGCATGTGTTTGATTACTCTTTCCTTTCTTCATTAGTTCAAAGCAATCACAGTTTAAACTGAAATGAAAGGATTCAATTTTTTTAAGTAGAAGGGTCTCTGGTGGGAGCAAAAACTATGGATTGGAGCTGTGTGACTCTGGTCTGATTCAAATTTGCCATTGCGTCATGTGGTGAATGGGGAAAAATGCAAAGAAGATCACTGAGCACCAAAGGATCTGAAAGGTGTTAAAATTAATTCTTATGTATCTTTTGGATTCTTAATCTGCTCTATCAGCACAAGTTATCTAGAGTTAATTCTAGGAAATGCTTAATGTGATTTGATAATGCTAATTACGAAATCACTTATGACATCTGCCTAAAAGGGTACAATATGAATACAATTTGGACATACTAATATGTACATATAGCCACAAATTTGGAAATCTTTATTATAAATAAAAAATCTGTTGCTATAGTGAGGAGGACAGTGACTAGGTGACTGGTGTGCTTGCTCAGTGTGCTAAATCTTATAGGGTGCACAGGGATTTTTCCTCTGTGAGATGTGAATACTTGTTTTTGGATGTTCATTAACAAATTCACTTTTCACCCCAATACATTTTGCTGCCTGAGGCAAAACAGCAAATACTGCCCCTCCTCCCTCCACCCAACTTAAGATGTGCAATGTCATAAACCAGAAACATTTATTCTGGCACATCAGGCCCACATCTTCCCCCTTGTCAGGCAGTAAAAATATGTAGATAACACATAAATAACAATTCACTACTATTTATTAACCTGTGATGGCCATTCTTTTCCATCTAATAAATGGTTTGGCCAGCCCTACATATGTCCCTTCTCATATTCTTTGCAATAAGAACTAGCTAGGTTTCTACTGAGATGCCTTTGTATTGTTATGCAGATATCATAGCTAAAAAGAAAACCAATCCAATATGATAATGGGTAGCACATACACTTTTTACATTAAAAGAGGAAGAGGGAGAAAGAACAGGAAAAGAAGGTCCAGCTGTTCTGGGATGCATGAGTCAGAAGGTCATAACCTTGGCACTTTTTCAAACTCATTTCAGCCATAAACTCAAATAGGTAGATTGAGGCAAGCCATTTCCCTCAATCTCAGTGCTCAGTTTACAGCAGGGAGATAATATTCATCTATGGGGTTCTTTGTAAGGATTAGTGAGATAATATATGCAAAGTACTTTCAATGCTTAAAAAACTGCATAAGGTATTGTTATCTCAGACACACAAGCTTTGGGGCTATTCAGAGTAAGACAGTCAAGGAAACTGCTTAAGGCTTAAAAATAACACCAAGTTGAATCAAATAATAAAAATCTGCTGGATTCTAGAAAAATAAATGTTTTAT